GGTCATCCGAGTCTGAACAGAGGTTAACAAAGAAAATGCAACCACAGCCCCTTTACAGATACTGAATCAAACTCTCAAGTAAAGTCTCATTCATTCAATTACATGGGTATGAAATCCTTCCTCAGTGACATGGTGGCTGTATTTTGAACATACTCAACTGTATTTAATCAACTGTATTTCTATTTCAGCTATGCTATGTATTTATGCTAGAAGATCATGGGAACAGTATCTGTGTTTTTGGCACAAATTCATCCCAAATATGGACTTTGTTGTTGTTGTTGTTGTTTTGTTAACCGTGAGTGCAGCATCTAATGTAAACAACAGATTGCACTTCATCATTGAGCATATCTTCAGGAGGAATGGCAAAAAAAGGGGCCGGTTTTTGGCCCTACCTTCAGAAATGAACTTTTATAAAAGAAAAAATAAAAGTCTGGGAAAGTTCCAGAGAAGGAGAGCATCAGTAGTCCTCAGCTGGAAAGAGAAAGACAAGGAGACAGAGTGACACAGATGAACAAGAAGAAGTAGAACCGAGAGGAAGCGGAGCGTGCGATCCGTTCGAGGTTAGAGACGGCATAAGAAATCTCAGCATGCAGGTGGTTAGTGGAGATGGAGGGCAGCTTACTTTCAATGGTGAGAATGCAGGTGCTTGCGGCAGTTCCTCGGCTGTTGACGGCTTTACACATATACTCTCCTTCATCCTCGGGGAACGTTTCTGGCAAGTACAAGCAGTAGGTCTCCCCTCTCTCAATGTACTGGTAGTCTTCAGAGTCCGGCAGCAGCTCACCTTCAAACCACCAGGTGACCTCTGGTTTGGGTTCTCCTGTGATCTTCACTGTGAACCGCACAGGCTCTGTGTCGACCACCGACTGGTTCTTAAGGGGCTTTTTAAACCATGGAGCGCCCGACCTGGCGTGGTCCTCTTCATCCTCGTAGGCGGCGGAGCCATTAATGATGCTACCCTCTTCCTCCTCCTCTTCTTCCCTTTTCTGACAAGAAGTGTGACAAAGTGTTCACACTCGGAAAAAACAGCAAAGCAACAGAAATCACACGCATGCAGCTCTGCCATGCATTAGTGTTGAGGTCGGTCCACCATTTAGCTCTTAAACAAAGCAGCCCAGGAGAGGTTTACTTTTTGAAGAGCAGCGTCAATTTCCTGTTGTTCAAATTGCATCCTTTGTAATTTCTGCTCTTCGATCTTTCTCTTTTGCTCTTCTTCTCTGGCCTTGGCCATTTGTTCAAATCGCGCACGCATGTCCACTTTCTGTCTGAAAGGGACGTCCTCTGCTTTAGCTGGAGTTGTTTTATCCTCATCTTCATCCTGTGAAAGAAATGAGCAAAAGCTGCTGCAAATGAGCTGCTCTTTAGCGGGAATGAAAATGTGAGAAATTCCCTTGTTCTTTTACCTCCTGACAGCGCTCTGCCTCTCTCTCCTTGATTTTCTCATCAATTTCTTTCCTTCTTGCTCGTTCCTCCTCGATCTTCTTCTGGATATCCTCCTCTGTGAGCTGCTTGATCTTCTCAAACTTAGATTTCAGGCTTTTGGCCTGGATGGAGCCAGTTCGCTTCAGCTTTGTTAGTTCTTCGTACTCTGTGCTCACCACCTCAGAGCTTTCATTGATCTCATCCTGAATCAAACCCACAAAACAATGTAAATAATTGAAGCGTATTGAAATTGTAAGTGTAATGATAATTTTATTGGCACATGAAGCTGACCTCGCCCATCTCTTGTCGCAACTGTTCAAACTCTTTCTTTTCCATCTCCATTTTCTGGCGTCTGGCCTCCTCCTTGCGTTTTCGCTCTGCCTCCTCTTTCATTTTCAGCATCTCCTCAAAGTTCATTTCTAGTTTCCCTGGGTGGATTGCTTCCTGTGACTCTGTCCTCACCAGAGTTTCATCATCATCCTGCACCTGTCACAAGAACGGGACAAATATCTCATAAGCGACTGATATTTAATTGCATATGAACATATGTATTATACATCTTGTGCAGGCAACGAGAGTTTTCCTGTGTTACCTGCTGTTATCCTTTTTCTTATGTTTGACTGATAATAACTAAGCATGCTGAATTTATAATAAAAATAAGTTAAAAGGTAATCAAACATCATGAATATATTTCTAAATGCTAGGTGTATATAATTATATTACTTTACAATTCAGTAGCTCTTAAACAAAGCAGCCCAGGAGAGGTTTACTTTTTGAAGAGCAGCGTCAATTTCCTGTTGTTCAAATTGCATCCTTTGTAATTTCTGCTCTTCGATCTTTCTCTTTTGCTCTTCTTCTCTGGCCTTGGCCATTTGTTCAAATCGCGCACGCATGTCCACTTTCTGTCTGAAAGGGACGTCCTCTGCTTTAGCTGGAGTTGTTTTATCCTCATCTTCATCCTGTGAAAGAAATGAGCAAAAGCTGCTGCAAATGAGCTGCTCTTTAGCGGGAATGAAAATGTGAGAAATTCCCTTGTTCTTTTACCTCCTGACAGCGCTCTGCCTCTCTCTCCTTGATTTTCTCATCAATTTCTTTCCTTCTTGCTCGTTCCTCCTCGATCTTCTTCTGGATATCCTCCTCTGTGAGCTGCTTGATCTTCTCAAACTTAGATTTCAGGCTTTTGGCCTGGATGGAGCCAGTTCGCTTCAGCTTTGTTAGTTCTTCGTACTCTGTGCTCACCACCTCAGAGCTTTCATTGATCTCATCCTGAATCAAACCCACAAAACAATGTAAATAATTGAAGCGTATTGAAATTGTAAGTGTAATGATAATTTTATTGGCACATGAAGCTGACCTCGCCCATCTCTTGTCGCAACTGTTCAAACTCTTTCTTTTCCATCTCCATTTTCTGGCGTCTGGCCTCCTCCTTGCGTTTTCGCTCTGCCTCCTCTTTCATTTTCAGCATCTCCTCAAAGTTCATTTCTAGTTTCCCTGGGTGGATTGCTTCCTGTGACTCTGTCCTCACCAGAGTTTCATCATCATCCTGCACCTGTCACAAGAACGGGACAAATATCTCATAAGCGACTGATATTTAATTGCATATGAACATATGTATTATACATCTTGTGCAGGCAACGAGAGTTTTCCTGTGTTACCTGCTGTTATCCTTTTTCTTATGTTTGACCGATAATAACTAAGCATGCTGAATTTATAATAAAAATAAGTTAACAGGTAATCAAACATCATGAATATATTTCTAAATGCTAGGTGTATATAATTATATTACTTTACAATTCAGTACTGAAGAATTGACTTCAGTTCATAAGTTGGAATTTGAATTTGCTCCACATCCCACAGAAAGTTGAATTGTAATAAGTATAGTGCAAAACGCAGAATGATATACAATAATCACAGTTTTTGACTTGTTACTGTGAAAATTAAAAACTCATAACATAGGCTCAACTGAAGGTCTGGACCCCTAATTCTGTTCTGTACTAATACTCAAAACAGAATATCAATATTTTCTACACTACAAAGGATTATACAGTGCATTGGTATCTTGTTTTATTTACAAGAAAAATATCAAAATATTCTTTAAACAAGACACATTTGCTTGAGAAGCAAAAATATGCAAGATATTTAAAAAGGTCATATCACAAGGAATACCATTTTCTTTTACCTTTTTAGTTATAAAATCAGTTTATTGTGCTATAAAAACATGCAATAACATTATCCGTAGCACAAGTAGAACTTAGTGGGAAATATTACCTAAACTGGAATTAATATGTATGATACTTCCTCTTTAAGACCTGTTTTCTAAGAATGTATAGTATCCTCAATATATGTTTATTTTGTCTAGTTCCACTAAATATTTTGGCTTGTTTTAAGCCTCTTTTGTTTGTATAATTAATCATTGTGGCAATTCTTCACATTAGCAGAATAGCTGTTTCTTTTTAAAAATGTTTCTTACTTCTTTATCTCCAAAAACTCATAACATAGGCTCAACTGAAGGTCTGGACCCCTAATTCTGTTCTGTACTAATACTCAAAACAGAATATTAATATTTTCTACACTACAAAGGATTATACAGTGCATTGGTATCTTGTTTTATTTACAAGAAAAATATCAAAATATTCTTTAAACAAGACACATTTGCTTGAGAAGCAAAAATATGCAAGATATTTAAAAAGGTCATATCACAAGGAATACCATTTTCTTTGACCTTTTTAGTTATAAAATCAGTTTATTGTGCTATAAAAACATGCAATAACATTATCCGTAGCACAAGTAGAACTTAGTGGGAAATATTACCTAAACTGGAATTAATATGTATGATACTTCCTCTTTAAGACCTGTTTTCTAAGAATGTATAGTATCCTCAATATATGTTTATTTTGTCTAGTTCCACTAAATATTTTGGCTTGTTTTAAGCCTCTTTTGTTTGTATAATTAATCATTGTGGCAATTCTTCACATTAGCAGAATAGCTGTTTCTTTTTAAAAATGTTTCTTACTTCTTTATCTCCATATCCAGTCAAATTATCCTGATCCAATCCAGGTCTCTTAAAAACACAATTTGAAAAGCATAACAGACAAGCATTGCAGCAGGTATACCATTTGAGCACACTGGAGATTTGGACATGTTTTCACATTTGCATCCGAATTCATTGTTTTAGATTGAATCAGAGACCACAAGAAAGTTGATGTATTGAAATGGTCGCTCCTTCTCCTGTTCTTCAAAGGTTAACAGTTGTTAGCTGAGAGACAACATGTGCTCAGATGATATAAATATAATGAGCAGATTGCATTACAATAAACATGCAGCATTATGTATGTTTATGTTATATTATTAATAACCAGAACCGTTTCCTGAATAGAATGTTGAATATAAGCCCATTTATGGATGCTCTTAAAAACACAATTTGAAAAGCATAACAGACAAGCATTGCAGCAGGTATACCATTTGAGCACACTGGAGATTTGGACATGTTTTCACATTTGCATCCGAATTCATTGTTTTAGATTGAATCAGAGACCACAAGAAAGTTGATGTATTGAAATTGTCGCTCCTTCTCCTGTTCTTCAAAGGTTAACAGTTGTTAGCTGAGAGACAACATGTGCTCAGATGATATAAATATAATGAGCAGATTGCATTACAATAAACATGCAGCATTATGTATGTTTATGTTATATTATTAATAAGCAGAACCGTTTCCTGAATAGAATGTTGAATATAAGCCCATTTATGGATTTTTATTGTTGATTTATTTTGTTCATATCATAGATTAGTGCATGCAAATGCACTGTACATGTGCAAATAAGTTCTCATGCATGGTCCTACCATGTTCTTGCGAGCTTCTGCGAAAAGTCTTTTCTCTTCTTCCAAACGTTGCTTGGCTTCCTCCTCTTTCCTTTTCTGCTCTTCTTCTCGTCTCTGTCTTTCCAAATCCTCAAAGCTGATGGCCAGCTTCCCGGGTTTAGCCCCATCTGAGTTTATCATGGCCAGCAGGATGTCATCATCACTATTTACAACCTGCGAATCAATATATTAGGTTAAGCAAGTGATGCAAAGCTAAATTTCTCCAAATCTGTTCTGATAAAGAAACAATCTTATTCACAGTACTTTTTGGATGGCCTGAAGGTGAGTAAATCTTTAGCAAATTTTCAGTTTTGGGTAACTACTATTTGAAGTGTCCAAATAGTAAAAAAGTGTCCACTCTATATTGTATATGCAAACCGATATATCTACTGGTTGTGGAAATATACCCACCATGCCCAGCTTGGCCTCTTCAAAAGCTTTTCTTTCCTCCTCCCGTCTGCGTCGGGCCTCCTCCTCTGCCTGTTTTCTCTGCTGCTCCTGTCGCTCCTTCTCCTGTTCTTCAAAGGTCAGAAGCAGTTTGCCAGGGGTCACCGGCTCCTTCTCCTTGGGAGTAGAATCTGCATCGTCCACCTGTTCAATCATGGAGCGACGCTTGGCCTCTCGGAAAGACCGCCGGTTTTCGTCATATCTTTTCTTCTTTTCATCCTCAGTTCGCTTCTTTAGTTCCTCTTCTCTGTTCTTCTCCAAGTCCTCAAAGTTGATCTTAATCTTTCCCGGCTGTTTTTGTGATTTTGCAGGCACCACTCGTACCAATAGACTGTCATCGCCATCCTGTGATGAAGAAGAAGTGAAGAAGTCACCCTAACCGATAAAATTATTACAAAGGTATGATGAAATGTCTTCCTGTTTTGTTAGGATTTTTTGAAAATCAGAAACAAATGTGAGGTCTAATCTGAAGCAATAACAATTTTTTAAAAATTTTATCTATACTGCTTTGACCTGCAACATTTCTGCAGTCATGGACAAGCATCCAGACAGGCTTCAGATAAGGCCTGACAGCAGAAGACATTCTTCTGGCACAGTTGCCTTCATTTGTGTCATACTAGACAGAGATATGGGATGGCTAATTCAGTCAGAAAGCATGGCCTAGGCAGGGGATCAGTAGAGTGTGCATGCAGCAAGCAGGCATCACAGATGCTGGGGTGTTTTACTGATAAAAGGCTTTTTTATAAGAAGGTTTGTGTATATCCTTTTAAATACCTAAAATTGGGAATCGATGCATGCCAAATCTTATGCAAACACTGCATACCCAGCAAGCAGTATCTTCATTAACCTCAAGTCAAAATCTCCTACTATGCGTTGTTAGTGGCAGGGCAGTCAGTGGATGAAGTGACAAAACAAGATGCTGATGGGCACGTTTCTCTACTGACCATTTGCTTCCTGCGAACATACTCTCTCTCTTTAACGAACTGCTCTCTGCGTTTCTTTTGCTCCTCCTGACTTCTCTTTTGGTTTCTCTCTTCTCTAGCTTTCTGCATGGACTCAAACTTATTCTTCACATCTTCTTTCCCCAACTTGGGAACATAACTTCTCTGTACAGGCTTAGATGTTTTAAGCAGTTTCTTCAGAAGAAAGAGAAAATGAGGTATGAGAGATTGTTAGTAAAATAGAGAAATGGAAAATTTGTTCATTTAAATTTTTTCTTCTTTTTGATTTGCAGAGAGTATTGATTATATAAAGATTATAAATGACATAAAACACAGTTGACTACTTTTTCATTTCATAAAAAGCATATAATTTCTTTAAAATATAGAATTTTAAATCATTAATAAAAAAAATAAATAAAATAAAATAAAATAAAAAATATATATATGCGCATTGATTTTATAAAGATTATACATTTATATAATTCATATTATAATTTCATATTTTTATATTAAAATATTTAGCATATTTTTATTTTATAAAATAATTGTATTCATAATAATACACACTATATTTGAGTCTGTTAATTATTTTACTTTTTTTTTTATTAATTTAGTGGTATGTAATTATTTGAAAATATTTAAATATTTATGTATTTACTTTATATATATATATATATATATATATATATATTTTTTTTTTTTTGTATAATCATACTGTA